AAATTTTTTAAATTAGGAGGACAAGCGCTCCTAAAAAGAAAAGTAAGCATAGAGCCATGTGTATCAGTATATTAGATCCTGCATGAGGTCTTAAAGAGACAGCAGCCTAAATAAACCTCCTGCTGCCTTTCATTATACAGTGAAGACTATCCAGTGTTATTTTACAGTTGAGTAGATAATAGTTAGACCTAACTGAAAACATTTCTTGTTATTGTTTGTGGTATTGATTGTCATTAATTTATTTGTTCTTATTTTATTATTTACTATTTACTTGTCTATTTTTAGTTAAAATAGGCCATGTCCACACGTACACGTGTATTTTTATAAACTGAGTTTTTCCTTCTTCCGTTTTAAAAAAAAGTGTTTCATTCATGAATGAAAGTGCGTTTTTGAACGAATCTAGTGAGTCAGTGATTCATGATTACCCATTCATAAAGACTTGTTTCATTCCTGAATGAATCAGCTGTTCAAACGAATCAATTGAATATATGATTCAGAGAAAAAAGTCAGTGACTTGCCGCCACCTGCTGGTGGTTTCAGTTTAATTTTTAGGTATAATTTCAGTTATTTAAATCATTTAATATTTCTGTATTCAGAATTTTATATTTAAAACATTCATCTCAACATGAATTTATGAATTTAACTGCACTCATGCCACCTTTGAGAATCATTAAACGTCTGAAAATGTACCTACAAGCCACTTTTGTGTTCTTCTGTGCACCCTCTGTAGTAGAAATTATTTTTTTATTAATACTAATTTCATATGATTGCTAACTTTGTCTTAAATGATGCCATTGCAAAGGTAAAAAGAAAATACCCCTGTAAGTCACTTTAATCAATCAAATGTCACCTTGTATGAGGAAGGCTAATTTTTTATCAGAATTTTTTTATTATTGATCCGAAGGTGCTCCTAAATTTTTTTAATTTTTTAAATAAGCGCTCCTAAAAAGAAAAGTAAGCATAGAGCCATGTGTATCAGTATATTAGATCCTGCAGATCCTGCAAAAGAGACAGCAGCCTAAATAAACCTCCTGCTGCCTTTCATTATACAGTGAAGACTAACCAGTGTTATTTTACAGTTGAATAGATTATAGTTAGACCTAACTGAAAACATTTCTTGTTATTGT